TATAGGATTTTTGCATAATGACACTAAAATAAAACTGCCTACCCCAGCTTTAATAGCACATTTTATTTCCAATCTAAGTTTATTGTTGTTATTACAGGTTAAAATTATCTCCAGCTCGATTAGCTACAGTGGCAAAATACTGCTTACACATGAACGCATACAGTCAGGATGGATTTTGGCAATTGATTTTTTTTTTTTTTTTTATTAACCAAAAGTATTCAGTCTGTATTGAGTTGTGAATGACCCCAACACTCACAATTAAGGATCTTTTCAAAAAAGATTTTAAAATGCATTTTTTTCATTATACGTGTGTTCTTGTGGCCTTGGATTGTTTAATTTTTGGAGTTTCCACCATCTTTCCTTACCAGCCCTAAAAAGGAAATTAATAATCTCATCTGAGATTAGCCAGACACACGGGATATAAAATAACACAAAATATTTCCCTACAATCTATTTTAGAATAATCTGATCAAAGAGATTAATCACTGGAGGCTGCAAATTATGACTCAATTTTAGTCTCTCTCTTTTTTTTTTTTAGCATGTCTAATTTTCCAAAAAGGCATTTCTTAAAACGATAGCAGCTATTAATCCACCCACACGGGTCCATTTTAAGTCCATATCTTATACATTAACTACCAAAGCACTTCAACCTGATTTGCGTTGTCCTCTAAAGGGGAAAAGGATATGTATTGTGATGCTTTAATGATTCCCATTGCACAAGTGAATGTACAGTTTTTTTCATGCACAACTTTTAATTCACTAATAACAGTCTGCACAATAACAATAGTAACGGACGAAATAACTGCGTAATGGATTAAGCAGCACGTGGCAGAGTCAAAGCAGCAACAGGAACAACACAGCTGTGTAAAGACAACATCACTGTTATGGCGCTATGTACAGGTGTCACTGCATGGAGCTGTCCCAGGCTGTCTGCAGGAACATCAACAGTCTCAGGGTCTCGTGATGCCATGGTCTCGGCATACTGGATTTTGCAAACTGACGTTTTGAATTTGTTTTGGTGCGTTGATTTGGACAAAGTTTCAGACTGGCGGCAGTTAAAGCTCTTGGAAAAGTCCTTCTCAGACTGCTGGTGCGCCCACAGTCTCCTCTTAATTCCTGCTTTTTCTGCGCGCCTCCCTGCCAGACTTCAGCTCCATCAGCTCCACTTCGTGCTTCGCCGCAGTCTCCAACACCTTCTGCTTATTGTAGAACACCACAAAGTTATTTATGATGGGGTGGATGGGCAAGGCGATGGCTATCACTCCGCACAGAAAGCTCACGGCTGCGTTGCACTTGCCGAGCGTGGTTTTGGGGTAGATGTCTCCGTAGCCCACCGTGGTCATGGTGATGATGGCCCACCAGAAAGACTGCGGGATGCTCCTGAAAAGGGTCTCTGGGTGGCTTTGCTCCATGGTGTAGGCCAGCGCTGAGAACACAAATATTCCCACGCCCATGTACATGAGGAGCAGCCCCAACTCTTTGAGACTCCTCTTGAGCGCGTAGGTCAGAGTCTGCAGCCCCGAGGAGTGGCGCGCCAGCTTGAAAATACGCGCGATGCGCATGATGCGGAGCGCCTGGACAGCCTGCTGTACATTAGTCAGCTCCATCATGGATGTGGTGCCGAGGTAGGTAAGGGACAGGACCACGTAGAAAGGCATGATGGCCATGAAGTCTATGATGTTCATAAAGGAGAGCGCAAAGTGCAGTTTGTTCGGAGAGGAGGCGAGACGCAACAAGTATTCCGCGGTGAACCATAACATGCAGGCAGTCTCGATCGCCTCCAGGGTCGGGTGCTCCACCAGTTTTCCTTCCGCGTCCGTCACCTGGAGCTCCGGAATGGTCCCCACGCACATCACCACCGCCGAGACCAGAATAGAGAGGAAGGATGCGATGGCGATGACGCGCGCCGGTAGGGAGGAACCCGGCTTCTCCATCAGTCTCCACAGGAACCTCTGGCACCGCTGGGTACGCGTAATGCACTGATCCGCATCCAGATCCTCCAGAATCACTTTCACTTTGTTTGCAATCTCTGTCAGCTCCTCCTCCTTCTCATTTAGGTAGCTTTTACAGCATTCATCTAAAACATCTTGGTCTATTTTCCAGAACTCCATCTCCTTGATGAAACAGATGGGGCAAATGCCGGGTTTGATGTGGATTTCATCAAAGTAGTAAACATCGATGATGCACTTGAAGGCATCGGGATCTCGGTCAAAGTAAAACTCTTTCCTCCCCGGGTCGAAGTCATCGCAAAGAGATGAGATAACTTCTGAATCCTGAGTTGGGCAGTTCAACAACTCCGCTAGTCTGCTCTCCGGGTAGCGGTTTAAAACATCCCCGAAAAGCACCACTCTGACTCCGCCGATATTCACAGCAATCTCCCCCTCGTCGCACGAACCAGTTCTATATTTTGGCTTCGGAACTGTCCACATTTTACTATATGAATACGTATCCTGTTACGTTAAAGTGAACCAGAATTGATGTCCATTATTTCGGTGCGTAAATGCTTCCTCCTCAGACTGTTCCATGCACTGAATGGCACAGCCTGAACGGCCAGCTTTCCCTAACACTTCCCACCTCTCTCTCTCTCTCTCTCTCCCTGTGCGTGTGTGTGTGTGTGTGTGTGTGTGTGTGTGTGTGTGTGTGCGTGTGTGTTTCACGGTTGGAGGATTGCAATATGCAGCTTGTTTTAGAGACAGTCCAGTCAATAATTAAAGAGCACCAATAATCAGCACTGTAAAGTTAGAATGTTTTGCAGTATATTGAGGCATTCATTACTGGCTTTACAGCGTTGTTAATTAAAGGAAATATCCCATCATCAAACATACAGACTGATCAAATATTATTTAAGATAGAGACAAATGCTGTGACAGTGGTTGCTGCACAGAGCAGAGATAGTGCACTCTCTGGTGATCATTTACTGTATAGCATTCAGTGGTGGAAGGTGCCCTCAAGTGCTAGTTGAATATGATGTTGTGGCACTGGTTCTCTGAGTATTTCCTTTTCATGTTACTACTTCACTACATTTTATACTTTTTACTGTATCTAACAACTCAAGCTACTATTTAGTTTTCAAATTAAGCTTTTACATTGTCTTACTCTGGTGCAGTGGGGAGCACTGTCACCTCACAGCAGGTGGGCCTGAGTTCGAGCCCCTTTGTGGCTTGTGTGGCGTTTGCAAGTTGTCAGTGTGAGTTTTCCCACATGCAGGTTAATTGGTGACTCTAAATTGCCCGTGGGTGTGAATGTGAGCGTGAATGGTTGTCTGTTTCTATAAGTGTCAGAACTGTGATAGTCTGGCAGCCTGTCCAGGGCGTACCCATCTCCCTGGTGTCAGCTAGGATAGGCTACAGCCCCTGCCTCCCTGGCTTCAGTGAAAGAGGTTGAACTCTCCAACTTTTCACTAAAAGAACAATAAAGATGAGATAATAATTAAAAAGTTTAAAATAAATTTGTGATCATCTCACAACCTCTGAGACTTATCTTGTGACCCTTTGGTGGGTGCCTGACACGTAGGTCAGGAACCACTGAACTAAACTACATTACAGTATGTACAGTGGTTAAAAGATTGCTCCACAGATTTTGCACTCTCGTAGAACATTGTCGGACTCATGATGGATGCAATGCAGAAGAACCATATTCTGCACATGCTCCCTCTTTCCTACCTACAACTCAACCGGTAACAGTTTTATCAAAAAGGTTAGGAAAAACAAAGCATTTTTTTTTTGTTTGGGTTTCTTTTCATTTACCACATTTTGTTTTGTATGTGCAATAAAAAAAAAAATAGTGTTTTGTAATCCCATGTGAGAAGGGCCAAAGGCATGACAACGGAATAAATAAATAAATAAAAATAAATGAATGAAAAAAATGTAGTTTTCAGACCCAACTGATGCTGACTCGGGTGACATCACTCGAGGCAATTTATCAGACGTTATGCAGCTCCCTCTGGAGCCTGATGGACTAAGAGTCTCATCCTACTCTCTAATGTGCTATGTGTGAGCTCAGTCCTGCGTGTTCTTTAATGAAGCAATAGGAGAAGATATTCGGTCTCAGTTAATGTAGTTTATTAAGCAGTAAAGGAATAAAATTACAGAGCTCTGGGTTTCAACTTCACGTCCCTGACGAACATCAAAGGTGTGTCAGTTCACGAAGTCTGACCTCCTGTCCTTTCCCTGACCCAGTATATTTGAGCGTAACAGAGTGTCATTGTGCACGCAAGGCGTTGTCCTCTTCTCATTGGCAGTTCCACTTCCTCCTTCACCACACCACGCCCCTGCCTCCTGTTAATCTGACTCCTTCCCGCTGGCGGTGGGGACGTGGTTCCTGTTTTGAAAGACAAGAGAACAACACAACTCCCTAAACGTGCTGTACCTTACTATCTGTTCATCACTTTCTATTCTTTTTACCATATATGAAACTAATTATCTAAGCATTGCGGTATGTGCTCCTCAGACTTCATGTCTCTTCCTCTCCTGTATTTCTCCACTTCTGCAAAGCACACACATTCAGATCAGCTGAAATCATCTCAGTATTGTCATTGTTCACACATCTAAAACTTATATAGTGAAACACAACTTATAGTAAAACACATAACATCATTCTATTCCCAACAAGCCACAAAAGGCTTTTTTCCCCCTTTTTTTTAAACTGTACTCTCTAAGATCTGCAGACTTCACTGTAAACTATCTCCTTAAAACTAGCTCCATCTTTCTTGAGCAGCTACAACAGTAAAATGCCACTTACACACAGCAGCATTAACAGTTTATTAATGCAATCCATAATAACATGTCAGACAGCGGTATTTCTGCAGATGAAGCACATTTAGTTTGATACTTTATGTACATTTAGCTGATAATACTTGTGAATTTTTGCCTGACCCGTTCAGAACTCAGCTGTGCTCCAAACACAAAAGAAAATAATGTGAATTTTTACTTTAAATGCACTCATACATCAGTGGCAAAAAAAGAAGAAGAAAAAAAGTAAATTTTATGATGGTCTTATGGTCACTTTTTTTAAGAATTTATTTACTTTCATGAATGGTATACTCATATTAATAACTAAAGTGATGCTTTAAAACACATTACATATACGTATTGTATTGTGTCTGTCATCAGTACTCAGTATATCCTCAGATTCTGAAGTATCTCCAGAAAACAGTGTGTTGAAAACCTCCTGAGAATGATGTTCTGTGTACATAATCAACACAGTGCATTATAAGATGATTGTGTCATTAGAAAATCATATCAGAACACTATTTCTCCTTTTCAATTTTCAATTTTGACATATATATGTAATATAACATCTTGTGTTTACTTTAAAGACAGTTTGAACACAAATAATGTACTTAAACAATATGATTAATGGACTGAAACATGCCTTGCACCTCCTCCTTGCCTCACAGTCAGCCATGCTTGTTAAAAAAGGGGGCGTGGCTTTACCCCAGTCCACTTTAGATGATGTGGAACACTGTGATAAGCTGATAGACATCCAGTCAATTAAGTCTGTGCATTTGGTTGAAGTCAGATGGCAGATGATCATAGATTTAGACATCCTAGAAAAGTTATGTCCACTGGAATGGACAGCAAATTCAATGGTCAGTTGTGTAGAGTTATGTGCGACTGTGCCTGAAGAAAGACACTAGCTTACAGGTTTCTAGGAAGACGTGCTTACTTAAAATGCTTAAAGCTGTACACTGACATTAACAATGACAGTGCGCGTTCTTGCAAGAGAAAATATTTTTTACATATTGAATAAACATATGTAAATAGTTCCATGGTTTCATGTGCAGCACATCCCAAAGTGTAGTCCATGTGCAGCTTGCATTGCGGTGAAGAGGACCTGATCCATCCACTGTCCACCTGACAACATAGTTTACACTGCTGTCCAAGGGAAGCTTGACAGATATTTCTGGCTCATGAGAAATGCTGAAAACTAAAATATTCATAAATGTAGTCTTCACTAGATGTGTTTTATTTTAGAGTTGAGGGTCTTTATGTTCCTGGCTCTGACTGATCCACAGGGCCCTCATTGCTTGGTCACTGTGTGGGTCCTCTCTTTGTCGACTGCTAGCTGGCCTCCAGCACGCTGGTGTTGACGTGGAAGCAGATGTAGGAGAAGTACTCCTGCTGACAGAGTCCTGGGATCTCACAGCTGACCTGCTTGGCAGAGGGAGACGGAAGATACAATGTGTCACACACCTTGAACCAGCTAAACTCTATCATTGTACTGCAGGAGTGTGTTTGCCTGAGCCAGATCAATGTTCTTTTTTATTATGCATCATAGATATCATGGCCTTATTTGTGTGCAGTAAGTGTGCCTGCAGCCCACAATTTCACTTTCCTCACTGTGGTCTGGCGAGGCCCTGGATGAATTTGCATGTGACAGATGCCATTTCAAGTAGGCTGGACAGCAGATGGTTGACAACACTCTCCTTCACTCAGACAAATCAAATTAAATCCAACTGGACGAACGCTCCACTCACTTGCTGTCACTGGTCTTAGTGAAGCATTATCAAATTCTCTTGAAGTGCTTGCTCTTGGTGGGAATTCTGGTCTAGACCTGCTCTACATGGAAAGTGTCCTGAAATGACTTTTGTTATGATTTGGCGCTGTATGAGTAATATTGATTGGACTTTACTTAAAAGATCATTTTGCAGTGGGGTTGTATGAGGTACTTCTCCATAGTCAGTGTATTAGCTACATACAGTAGATGTTCATCAGCATGCCCCCACTTTGGAGAAGCAGGCAGGAGTACTGCCACAGAAGCTAAATGATGGGGGCAGCAGCAAAATGCATTACAGCCACTGTAACAAAAGTCCCAGCTAAAAAAAAATGAATGCCAGTTTGAGTTAAGAATATCTTCACTGCTTTACTTTGTCACCAGGCAGTCATTTCCTGCTGGAAACTGAAGCCATCTACACTCTCTTCAAAGCCACCAGACTCCTTTAATAAAAAAGTAATTTTACCTACCACAACACCGGAGTTGCTGGTCTACTGCTGCCTCAATCAGTTAGTTTGTCTGTGGAATTATATGACTTCGGCGTTTAAAAGGGTTAGTTCGGACACAATAACACATACAAACCAACCGATCGAGACAGCGGTAGACCATCATGGCTTGAGTTCCCAGTTGGAAAGGCTGTTTGTGTAAAGTGGTGAAAATATTCTAAATAAACAGTAGTGTACACTTAACCTGATTCTTTAGGTGGGACTTTTTTTTTCCAGTGGCTGTCCCCCTCCACAGCAGTAAGTTATACAGCTCGTGTAGCAGCGCTCCTGCCTGTTTCTCTAAACTGGGGGCGACCGACATTTACTGTGTGTAATACAGGGATACATACCTCATACAGCCACACTTCAAAAAATCCAAACTATTCCATAAAAGTATACACCATATTTAGTTTGTTTTTGAATAGAATAGATTTAAATTGCCCCTCGAATGCAGACCGGCCAATCACAGCATAGCACTGGCCAGCTTCGAGAAGGTTCCGACAACAACATGGCTGTGCTCCATAGACTGCCAGGCAATTGTTTTAGATTACTTTCATTTTTAGGCTGGTTTTGTGGATTTCGAGCGAAATATTGTGCCTGAGGTACGTGTGTTAATGATACTCTTTACATTGATAGGTTGGAAGGAGATATATGTTTCTCTGCTGTCCCAAAACCAAAATCAAACCCTAAAAAGTGTAGGGTTAGCTAGCTCAGTAACCTGCCCCTGAGGGTATAGCCTACCTTTGTTAATGATTATAACACTCAGTAAAGACCTACCCTGCTCTACAGGAACCAGTAAAGGGAAGCAGACTTCGTTGATATTCAACCAGCTGTGTGCCATTGCAGTGTGCTCAGATGACGATTGTTGGGTTTCTCTTCGAGCTCCCTGCCCGTCCAGCGGCTGGCAGCACAGGAAGAAGCCAAACACCTTTCATTTGCACACATTGCAATGACACACCACTGGTTGAATATTGGCATTGTTTCCCTTTATATTCATTGTCTTCTGTCTTGATGTGGTGGTTCACTCTTACATTGTGATCTATTGCCTATAGTTCTGCTTTAGCTTCTATCTATGTTTATCTTTTTAACCAGTTTGACATCCTGGATATATCTGCCAAACACATGTTGTTGACCCCTCTGTCTGCTTCTCTCTGAAATATAATAAAACAATATTTAGGTCAGTGACAGTAAAGGCCTCCATGCTAGCTCTGACAGCTTGACGAACAACCACAAATGGGTGGGGCTTAGCAAAGTGTCAGTTGTTTTTGTGTTGTTTCTTGATAGGGAAGCCTTCAATATCTTTTTTCTCCCCACCAGAATGTGAGTAACAGCAGGCTATATAAAAGAGCATTAATGAACTGGCTCCAGGCATTGGTGGAAGACATATTCAGATTCTTTATGTACAACTAGCCTACCAGTACCACAATTTAAAAAATCCTATTACATTCAAAAGTCCTGCATTTGGAATTGACCTTAAAGTTGCTTTGATCAATATTTTTATATTAATGGATGAAATTACTACATGTAATGTGAATGGGGTTGCTTATAGTGTTGAATCAACACTGTGCACTTCCTCTCATTTCGACAAAGCATTTCGCTCATTATTTTGGTTTTACAGGCCACAACTTTATGGCTTCAGTTCGCTCTTAACACTCTCATCAACTTCGTTTCACACCCAGCAGGCAGCTATCTCTAATAGACAGACTAATAATTACATTACCTATCCAGCACTGAACAACAAACAGAGATAGCTACGAGCCACAATGTACATGTAGTGGAGCATTTATCAGCTAAACAGACAGATATTTCCCTTTAGGCCTCCAGATGAATGCTAATGTTGCTCTGTACCTGCTGGATGTATAAATACACAACTGGTTGCCAACACATTCAACATAGCAGCTTTATAAGGTGATGACTGTGTTGTCTTTACAGCTTCTTGTGCTGCTCCCAAGTAGCCACATAATATAAACATGTTGATTGAAAGCTGCCCCATGGCGTTGTCTTGTGAACAAACAAAAGTAATGTTTGCGTTCGGTGTTAATGCCAAAATACGGTGTGTCTACCCCTGAGGTCCAACGAACTGACTCATAAAAGAAGCTGCTACGTACAAAGCACTGTTTCCACCAGATATTTTCGGTATGGCACCTTTGGAACCGAAATGACCCTTCAGACATGGTACCTAGACCCTAGCGTTTCCACTGCAAGAGGTCGAAAACAGTTGTTATGGAAGAATTATAGTCAAGATATATACTGAGGGGGACATTTGACAGCTGAAAAAAGACTTGTGCTCTCTGCCTGGACAATGTATGTATTGGCCTCAGTTTTTATAAATGGCCTCAAACATATCTTTGGTATTTCTATACTGTGGTTTTGCTACTTTCTTGTCTGTCAATATGTAAGCCAACAGGGACATATCTGCAATAGACTGAAAGTGGTCTGTAACACTGGCCTGGCCACTTCAGTTGAGTTAATTTAGTGCTTAGCAAGTCAAATATTTGTCTGAGGGACGTTCTGAAGATAAGTAGAAGTATGAAGTAGCACAAAATGGCAATACAGGTAAAGTATAAAGAGCAGTTCTTGTGTTGACAAGGTTGGTTGTTCTCCATCAGTGCTTTTAGGTAGATGCATTATGTTGATGTCATATTAATCCAAGACAGAGTAGAAAAACCACAGACATTTCCTGCATTTAAATTAATTATAACTCCTTTATCAATTTTAATTGGAACCGGCTCAGGTCTCATCATGTAACTGATATTTCACAACTTACTCAGATGACCTACACGGTCAGTTGTAGTTGCTCTTAAAGACAGAAAGATGTGGATAAAAGCTAATTAAAAAAAGCTAGTAAGTGGACATTGAGTTGGCTCAACACAAACTTTTGAAAGCAGTTGCCAGCCTAGCTTTTTTTGCCAAAAGTGAAAATATGGTTGCCAATTTTAGTCACCTTATATTTTGAGTAATTAGATACTGTGCTGTATTTGACAGTTAAATAATGACATGTGACATAAAAGAATGTTTAAAGGCTTTTTTTCTTTTTACAGAGACTTAACAAAATTCTTTGTCATTTGCATTTTACCTGATTCTATTATTCATCTGATCTTATCTGTTTGTTTAGGTTCACTTGTCAGTTGAATTAATTTGCACACTCGTTTGTGATGCTGAGAGGTTTGTTGAACTTCTCATCTCAGTGTCAAACAACTTAATTTGCTTCACCATTGTCTCTAAAACAGACGCCTGCGTGCATGTGAGTAAACACACCAATGCACTTGCAGTGATGCCTGGTTCCAGTTCTGACTGTAACAGCAATATGATAACAATAGTGATATAGTAATATTTAGTCACTAATACAACAAACATTTAAAAAAACACTTATTTTAGGGTGCATATTTTGCCTTTTTTTGCCACTGATGGCAACCAAATGCCAAGAATTGGATGCCAGATTCTCAGATTGGTTGCCAACAACAAACTGGCAACTGTTACTGCCGAGCCCTGCATACTGGCGTCAAGAGTGAAAATCTACATTAAAGAATTGGTGTGTTTGTGTCTTTATGCCCTTTCTTCACATGAAATGTGAATGTAACAGTGACATATTTATACGAAATGTCTGAGGCAGTGAAAGTGGATTTGGCTTCTTACATCTGTCTTGCTGGTGGTGGCAGTGGGGTCCAGATGTTTGAACAGTGAGGCGAGTTCTCCTCTCAGTTTCTTTGAACGCTTCTTGTCCGTGTGCAACACGAGAGCCTGATAGTTCACCGGTAATCCATACCTAGCAGGAGACATCCTCATGAGTATACTCACACGTAAAGATCACAGGAAAATTAGCATGTCATTTTTTTATTCACTAGCGTTATGAGCACTGACCTGAGGACTGATTCCACAAACACCCTCAATGCTTTCAGATGAATCCAGGCAACAAACACCCCACTGAAATTCACCTTCAGCCAACGCACAAAGATTCCCTATGGAGGAGGCATGCGCATTAATAATATACTACAACATCACACAATACAAAAAAGAAACTCTACAGAGTATGATGTCAGACTCACATATTGTTCCTTCTTGCGAACATTCTGCTGCTTCACCTCCTGCTGCTTCTTCGACTCCAGATCAAAGCTGTACTCGCGCACGGTGAACCTGTGTGGATCATAGGCTACACTATGGTAAGTGACACAGACAACACAGCTTTGACTTGACGGGCTGTTTTCTGACAATCCGTCCTGCTTACTTGCTCTCCTTGGCTTTGGCTTTGAATTCACACACAGCCCTTTTGAAAAGTGTAACTGAGAATACGCCTCCCTCTCCATCCTCGAACAGCTTCCTGATGGTCACACAAAACAAGGACAGAAATGAGAGCGACACCTGACAACACAGCGCAACAGGTCAAGCTGACAGGTAACAAAGACACATTAAAGTCTATGGGAGTGAAAGTTGGGTGATATTGATGTAATTGGTATTTGTGAGTCATCATGTGTATAGAACACCATGATATCATAACAGAAGCTGTCTGATTGTGATTGTTTAAAATGTGTGTTAATACAATATTTCTTTATCCAAAACACAGTCACAGTCGAGATTCATTTTATTAGTTACACTATTACACTCAGTCAGACGTTGTCAGGCCCTATGACCTTCACATAAACGTGTTCCCAGCTTTGGAAAGAGTACAACAGACTGTGTGAACCATAGACTGCATAAAATATGGACTTAGCTGCCGTGATGTCATCCACTGGTTTGTGGGCTCCCCTTATAAAGCCTTGAGTTGGCCATTTCGGCCATCGCCATTTTGGTTTTTCTGTGGCCAGAAGTGACCATAAAACCCAAGATGGCGACAGCTGAACTGTGTCCACAAACCAATTGGTGATGTCATGGTAGCTACATCCATTGTTTGTTGAAGTCTATGCCTGCCACTTAAGCAGTCCTGCCCTTAAATATGCATAACTTTAAGCCCTTATAAAATGTTAATGGGTGAGTTATATAAAAATTCACCCCCTGTGTAGTTGTCATGAATGTTGAAATAAGCTATAGAGATCAGAATTGTTTTTTGTACCAGGCTGTAAACATATTTATTTCTACTGTAAAGTCGGGCATTTTAACATGGGGGTCTATGGGGATTGACTGGCTTCTGGAGCCAGCCTCAAGTGGCCATTTAAGGAACTGCAGGTTTTGGCACTTAGCATTGGTTTGATTTTTACAGCCCCAGGTGTTGCCACTTGATGTGAATCCAAGGCGGTGACTTTTTACTTGTATTCACTGTGGCCAGCATTGATAAGTGTATGTTAAAAGACAAAACTGTAAAACAAATAAGACGAAAAAAGCGCTGTGCCACATAAAGTCAATAGAACCGCTGTTTAATTTGCCATTACATTCATATTTTTAAAGGCCTGTGTTTTTATTTACCCTGACTCATTAAACCTCTAGTCAGCCTGTAGCTATGATTACAATGGTATCACAAAACTGTATTTACTTATTGGTCTGTTTCATGGAAGAGATTTTGTATAAGTAATAGTAACATTTTGTATAAGTAATAGAATGAATGATGGCTGAGTGACATTTCACTGTTATTAGTTTATAGGCATCAATAAAAAGGCTTAGTGTTCTAAATGTTTTGTCACAGGCTTTTCCAGTGAATCTGTAATATTTTTGGCATAGAAAAGGTCAAATGCAACACAATGTATACTGACATAAAATACCAGAGATCAATTGCTCTACTCTACCCAAACATACCAGCATCAAACCCATATCAGTCATTACACATTAGTTATAGTTATATTCACTGACACTAAGCAGTATTTCCATTCATCAGTAACAAAGACTCTAAACTGCGATGTGATGTGGATGAAGAGTCAGTTCTTTTTTTAACTTTCAAGTGTATTTTTCTCTGTTTGAAAAAGGAAAAACCTTTTACAATTCATCCATGACAGACTTTGCTTTGACATCACTTTCTTGTTCTTGGTCTACTTTAGATGTCAGTCTACAAAGCACTTTATTTTTTCTTGTTTCTTGTAAGGTATTCAAATATTAAAAACTTCAACTGAAGTCATTTTCCGCTGGGAAAAAAGAACCCCAAAACATTTCCTTTCCTGCAATTGATCCAAACTACGTGGACTCTTACTTTCTGCAGGTAACAGAACACCTCTGGTTACTTAGCCTGACCTCTTTGGATGCTGAGAAAAGGTACTCTGAGCTTTGCTGGTGCACTTGTACTGAGATCGAGTGAAATGGCTTGTCTCAAAGACAAGAGGTCATGAAGAAGGCTCACCTGCTGGACCGTGGAACAACGAACTCTGACAAAGATTCATAGGTCCTTTCCCACTCCAAGTAGCTCCCTCTGTGACCAAAAAACACACACAGAAACACATTTACACATACAGAGTAACACATAGATACACACACAACACAAACCATAAAATGCAGGTAATATAACTTTTAGTGCATCACCAACCTGTTCACTACGACCAGCAGAGTGGTGAGGTACTCTGAGACCACCAGGTCTTCCTTCCTCACTACGTCATTCAGATTGCAAGTTTGCAGACTGCGAGTCCCACTGAAAAGACACACATTCCAGTTCAACATTTCATAGTGTATGTATGATCTTGAGTATTTCTACTTAATATGTTACTGGCATCACTCACTCTACTTTGTGCTCGAGGCTTTGCAAGCTCATTTTCACACTGTTGTACGCCGCAGCTCGGGACGTTAACTCCATATCCATCTGGGAAACTTCCTGACACAAATGCAGGTATCAACAGCACATGTGAGCATCAGGAGTACATGTGATAACCTCCAAACTAGTCTGAGATGTGAACTCATATATTGAATGTACATATATGTCTTATTAGAAGTGTAGGAACCAGTGTTCTTGGACTAAAGGTCTAAATGGTTGAGTCTACTGTTCCTCCCTTGTTTAACCCGTTCTCATTCCCAGGTCGTCAAATACCAATGCTTCGTCACACCCCTCAGCGTCTAATGCTGAAGCATAAGGCTCCCGTAAGTGTCGCAATGATGCAATGGGCTTTCAACTAACTCCAATACAAACCTACCCGCAGCATTGTTAGATGCTAAGAGAAACTGATGTAGTATAAAGTACTAACATAGGACATTCATGTTCCATGTGAAACCAGAAGCCATGATTTTTCCTAAAGATAACCAAGTAGTTTGATTGCCTAAATCTAAAGTAATTTTATTTTGAAAAGACACTGTGTGACCGTTCCAACCAAAAACTATACGTTTCCAATGAACACGGAAGTTTATTTTGAAAAGACACCGTGTGACTGTTCCAACCAAAAACTATACGTTTCCAATGAACATGGAAGTTTATTTTGAAAAGACATTGTATGCATGTAACAAAGGGAAACACTATTTCCTGTGAATATGGAAGTTTATTTTGAAAAGACACTATATGCGCGTAATGATCAGAAACTGCATGTTTTCTGTGAACTGACGTGTCCAAAACTGACGATAGAGCATCATAATTCGCAGCACATAGGGACCCTGACCAAGCTGTCATATTATGACCGTACTATCTATATTTACACATAACTTATTATTATTATCCTCATTTCCATTAGTTAGTACCTTGCTGATGATGTCTGCCAGGCTGGAGAGAGGCAGAGTTGTGGGATACTTGGCTTTGTCCCACTGAAACTTGGTTATGTAGCTCATCAGGTCCACTGAGAAACACACACAAGAAGTCATAATAACCTCACTGGAAACCAAAAATTGCACACCTTTAAGCACACACCACCACACAGTGGAATAAGAGTGTCACACAAGGGTAAAAACACACTTTATATATAAAGAGTCACGCAGCACTGCAGTCCAGCTCAAAGAGCAAACTGTCAGCAGATAAAATACCCCTCAGAGACTTGAGGTAAGCTTTCAGTGGTGATACGACGGCTGTCTGATTCATACTGTGGTCTGATGGGGGAAAGTGATCAGAGACACTGGTTAGCCCGGTTTGTGCTGGAAAGCTGTTTATCTGCCCTGCCTCTATGCAGGAAACTAACACAAGATAAACGGATCAGTTAGGCTGTGTCATCTTTGTGGGAGTGGATGTTTGTGTGTATACATGTGTATGGAGTTTAGTTTAAGTAGCTCTCAGGCTCATTTGCTGTATGCATGTAGCCTGGGGCTTCTATGCACTTACTTAATGAGTTTCTATACAATGTAATTAACACCCTCAGCATGTATCAGCATGTGCGTTTGTGCATGACTCACCTCCATTGGCTAAGGCGTTTTCCGGCACTTTGTCACTGGACGGCTCCATCACCTCCTTCATACACTGAAGTGTTTTTTTAATCACACTGGCCATGTAACAAGAAAAATGTCATTATTACAGCAGCTGCGCCCCCAGAAATGTCCTTAAATGAGTGGTTGGGGCCACTGAAAATCTTAGGGTGGCATCAAAACCAAAAGCCATTACTAGATTTCAGGAATTCCCTTATGCAGTTTAAGTATATAGGGTAGCTGAAAACTGTCAATATGGAAAGTTAAGTTACTGATATACTTTGGTCTCTTATTTTACAGTTAATATTACTAATTATCTGATATGCATAGACGAATACCAATATAGTTAACATTTTGAGTTCCATAACAATCCTGTTTTAATGAGTTATGTATCTGTATGTACATCTGTTTGGCGATTAACTGACCTTCAAACAGGCTGGTTGTTCTTTTACTTAAAAGGATTAATAAACAGCTTTAATATGAAAGACTAATTCAATTAAAAGGAGCTAACCATTTACTGAGAGCAAGCCTTGTGGGCACCCATAGAACCCATTTTCATTCAGATATCTTGAGGTGAGAATTCAAGGGACCCCTTTAAAAATGGCCATGCCAGCTGTTCCTTCGCCAAAATTTAGCCTAACTTTGGAGTGTTATTCAGCCCACTTCCTTCCAAGCTATGCCGACATGGTTGGTATCAATGGATGCCTTATGAAGTCTAGTTTCACAAGATATTACCACCGTTGTGCCATCTTAAAAAATGAGCACGCCACAGCCTCTTGAACACAATAAAATCCAGCCAACATTTGTAACAAGGCTGTCACGGCCCCCCTGGCCACCCTTGGGGGCACCACTGTTTTAAAGAGGTGCCTCTACTTTGTTTGTGTTTTTTTATATGTTATATATTTGGTTACAGTTTTAACCATTTATGGGCTTCTTTTCTGGAAATCGTTTTCCACAATGAACTATTAATGACAGGTTTTATTTATCAAAGACCTCTAGCTGAAAACAATTGATCAAACTGAATAAAACGAGTCAAGTAAATTACCAGACAAACTCTGTCTTGTTTAATCTCCCTGGGCCATATTTTTAAGTTGCAAATACGTAGTAACATCCCCACCCACACTGTGTCAGCTCAGATACACCAACAATGAATTTAAAATCAGGAGGGAAAACTAACCGTCAGCTGCCCCTGACCATCAATTAATCATGGTGCAGACGGCACGGAGGACCAAGCTGCACATTAAGCTACAAACATGCAATGACCATTGAGACAAACAGGTTCATCAACAGAACATGGGCAACATATTAAGTTTAGTTCAATGTTCTTGGATCTTTTTTTTTTTTTAATTACCTTTCAGTTAGTGTGTCGAGCTTGGAGAGATCATCTGACACGCTGAGCAGACTGTCCAGTATTCCCACCTGGGGTCACAGCATAGACAGCACAGTCAGTGTCACTGCAGCTGATGAAGCTCAAACCATAAAACACAAGCAACAGGTCTGCATGTATAATAACTTGCAGACTTTTTAGATTTTTAGATTCAGCCTGGAGATGTCCACATGCCATATTCAATACCACACTTTCTCATGTTTGATCTGCTGGTAAAATCCGAATCCTGGCAGCCAAGGTGAACATTGATCACATTGAGTGAAATGGGTCAGATGGAAATTTTGCCTCAAACTGTAGAGAGCAACCTGAGCCTTTATCCCTTCACCAGAGAAGGACACCAAACACCATCATCCTCCTCCTCAACTACACTCTACTGTAAACACAGAACCAACGTACACATACAATTCGTCTTGCTCGTGGTTTCTAACAATGTTGTTCTCACAGGTGAAGAAGAGAGACCATTCCATATCTGCTCCATATTTGTATATTTACTCTGTTTACTTTACGTGGCTCCCTCGGGCTCGTCATTAGGACAGATGATACACAGCCTCACCTTGAGATCTGGAATGGAGAACTTGCAGCAGGAGGCCAGGTTGGTTTTGGCAATGATGCGCTTGAGTTTTGCTACACTGGTTAAGCTGGTGCTGTCCAGAGGGACAGAAATCAACCACAAGTCTGCCATGACTCCCAGTGCTTCACATAGAGACCTCCAGTCAAAATCCTCCCCACAAAAACAAGGCGTTTGGCACTAAACAGACTGTGACCCAGAGCAAACACACATACAGTGAGATGAACTCAAAAATAAATCAACTTAAAAGCTTGTATGGTAAGCTGACTTTTAAAATTACATTTAATTATTTTGTTTATATATATTTGTTCTGTCATTGAGTATCCCATCATATTAACATTTTCTTTGATCATGGCTACTTGAAGTCCAATAAAAGAAACTATAAGATGAAAAGAAAAAACCTCTCAAAGCAAGGATTCTTACCGTCAGGTTATCTTCATGACCGTCTGTGTCAGTCCCACTGTGACTGCTGGAAAGTCTGAGCAGCAGCTCCACCTGAGACTGCCACGGCCGGCCCACTGTCTTCTAGGATCACCAGCAGCTGTTACATCACCTCCAGGTGCTTTGAGTAGCTATACCAGAATACGTCACTGAAACTGGTTGACTCAGTTTGCAACTTTGCTGTCACTCTGCATGTTTCTCAAAATATTATATAGGTGCTATTTAAGGTGCTGTTTTATTGTTTCTAAATAGGCCTACTTTTTCACATGTAACATGGGAACAATCAAAAAAAATTGCCTGTAGCCTGAATAAAACACTGAGCTCACAATTCACAGTATAGCCCTAGCATATTTATTACATAGACTAAAGCAACATTTTACATAATGTTATTACCTTATGTCTCTTCATATTGCATAATGTAAGTTGCCTTTACCCATATTTCTTTCTGTTATGTTCTGGTAACAGCATGTGGACCTGAAAAACTGTGATAGGTGTGTAAATTGATATTCGCTTCAATTTAAAATGGTGACAGAGACATCTGTAGCTAAGGGACTAATCATTACTTGTGAGGAGGGAGGGTGCAAAAAGGGGGAGGCATGTCAAATATTTTTTTAAGCATGGGTTGGGGATATATATTTTCATTTGGCTTAGGGGAGGGACATATAACTAGAAATGGCTGTTTTTGTTTTGTTTGTTTTTTTCATTTATTTTTTATCGCCATTTCAAATTACATCATTTATCATGGCCAGAAACTGTAAAAACAGAAATTGTGACAAGATTTTTAAATATTCAACAGTCCTTAAAAAACATCATATGCAAAAAAGTTTCCATCAAAAAAAGTGACACTTCAAAATCACTTTACTGTGTATGTCTCATTTAAAATTTTGCCCAGAATGAACTGTTTGCACAAACTAATCAGCATGCAGGATGAAAGCATAGATAAGAGTGAAACACCGAGGCTTTTTTCAACTCGTGTTCAACTTTTAATTTCTGAATTTCAAACATTAAAGGGTAAATTTTAAAATCTAATAACTAACTTGTGTCAGAGGAAGGGTCATGCATTTTCTGTCAGACACTCAGGGAGGCCCAAGGAAAAATATTTGTAGCTTCCAGGAGGGGCAAAAAAAAAAAGATCAAACAAAACAAAATAAAATAAAATTAAATTAAATTAAATAAAAATACGATAAAATAAAACAAAATAAAATGAAATATAAAACAATTCACACCACACCACCCCTCCTCTGGTAAGCAGAGAACAGTCCCTAAATTTATTGTCTATCTACGTACGGATCAAAGCTATGCTATTTAACGAAGCATGTAAAATAAATATTAACCTCTTGTAGAGTTTTGTCTATTCTATCAATGATATTGTTTCTTTAATTACTTAAACCTCACGATAACTCCGGCGAGGAGGGGAACTGTGTTCACTCACTACGGTTTCTACTCGGACCTATTTCGGCAAACTCACCGTCACTTCCTGTTTTTGCTCCGGAGCAACAACGTGGAGTCGGTGCAGTTCACCGGTGTGTAGTAACAGTGTTATGTGTGACCAGAGTCTTCACTTTACACAATGCAGATATCCAGCGTGAATGATGTGAAGATTTATAATTTAAGTCACGGGAAATCTCTTCCGGAGGTAAGAAGCGTAACTTAGCTCGCTGCTAACGCTTAGCTACGTCTAATAACATCATTTAGAAAGTCAGTAACATTACTTACCTTGAAGCAAGAGCTAGCTTACACAGCTAGCCTTGACAGCAGCAGTCCTGACAGTGTATATTAAGAAAATGTCAGTATTAATCTCTATTAAACAACACAGCACCTCAACATAATGTTTAATATAGGTAAAGGAACAAACCAAGCTTTAAATAACATTGTTTGAGACTCCTCAGTTTAACCTCCATACCTCAATATGTACCACTCATTGTAGCCAGTGTTGCACTGTTAATAATAATTGACCTAAACTAAAATAAACAACATAGAGGTCAGAAGTTAGTAATATGAAACATAGCCATAATATTTGAAAGTATTGCTGTAATAATGCCAAACCCTAATCAGCTCTCCCTCTTTAATACAGTGGCTGTCAGATCGGAAAAAGAGACAGTTACAAAAGAAAGATGTCGGTGAGTTGACCTCCATAATTTCAGCTTCACAGACTGGTTAATGTCTTTAAGATGTATGCCCTAATTCTGAGTTATCTTATTTTTCCTCCCAGACATCCAGCGCAGGATTGAGCTCATCCAGGACTTTGAGATGCCCACAGTGTGCACGTCCATCAAAGTGTCCAGGGATGGTCAGTTCGTCCTGGCAGCGGGTAAGACAAACTGTGGACAGTGTTTCAGCAAACACTCCTTAAAAGTGAGAGTGACATCAGGTGTCAGAACAGGCCTGTTCAGATAGTAACTAGATTTTTATGTGTATGTTTTCCATTATTTTCAGGCACATACAAACCTAGGATCCGCTGCTATGACACCTACCAGTTGTCACTGAAGTTTGAGCGCTGTCTGGATTCAGATAGTAAGTTGGTAGACACAGTCACTTGTTATATGTCATCCATGTTATGCACTAAACTGATGAATTTCTTTTCTGTTTTTCTCAAAGTTGTGGCTTTCGACATCCTGTCTGATGACTACTCTAAAGTAAGACATTTTGGGACCCCTTGCTGCTGTTGGTAACTTTTTTAGAAAATATATTGAGAAAGTTTGCTCCAGCTGGTGGGTGATTGCAAAGTTTGGCTTGATTGTTTTCAAAATGTCGGCTAGGTCACAAACGTTTTCATTTTACAGCTAAACATTATGCAAAGCATGTTTCTTAAAACACGTCAGGCGGGAAATAGGCAATGCCGTAACAGAAGCTTAATTCATATTTGATCAGTGCTGCCTAATTTGGCGAGTGATAGTTTGCCTGCAGTTCAGGAGCATGACTGACAGCTTAGTTAGTGATTCCTCAGCTCTGATTAGTTGTTTTCATTTACGCGTGCAGTGGATTATTGTAGATACCATGAGGAGACCTAGGAGGAGGTAGAGGAACAAAAAAATTTTTTCACAAAATGGTCAGGATGTAGTGACAGTTTCAGCAAATATGACACAAATTAATTTTTATAAAGGTTACCAACTGCAGCTCAGTGTGAGATTATCAGAAACAAGTAAGGGCACTTTGGTCATCACCTGTAAAACAATAAGAACTAGACATCAAAGTTATCCAGGATCCTTGAAGAGCAGTTTCTAAAGAGACATTTCTGTGATTAGAATAATGTTTTTTAATGACTTAAAACCTCATACAATAAAAAAAAAAAAACACTCAGTATAGCCATTGAAGACACGTTCTTTTTCAGCAGACACCCTCATATTGATTAACTGCATATAAACTGTGGAATAACCTGCCACAAAAGCATGACTGGGTTCAGTCAGATTGATGAAAGGACCACTCTATATTTTTGTATGGTCTTTCATGCTTTTAGGTTGTAGAAAGTCCTCTTTACAAATAGATGTTATTTTGTATGGAGGGCTTGAATAAAAAGTCATGTACATGGAGAACAAAACACTGTACAAAGGTTCAAACAGACTGACAACTGAAAGGGCAGAGAGAGACAAAGATCCCTCTGAGCAGCAGTTCAATAAGAGTAGAAGAAACCACCAGCCATTGGTAAAAGAAACTGGAAGCTTAAGGCATTAAAATGTGTGCAGATGAAATAGGAACAGGTTCCTGTTTCAGTGTTGAGTGCACAGTAATGCCTATCACAAGCTGGAATTAACAGGTGTTGCTGTAAAAAAAAAATTCTTTAAACGACACAATAGAAATAGTTAGCTCCAGCTGTATTTTCCCCATCAACACTATGAGGACATTAATTAAATAGAAGTTTTAGTCATTCAATTCAATGTAAATACATTTGGTGTCTGAATTATACTGCTTTTACCCCTGTTAAAATACTCATTATTGAAGGAAAGAAGAGGAACATCAATATTGCAAGTGATTCCAAACATATCTTTTAAATATAATATAGATGATTTCGAGGTGGTTAAAGTTCTCTTTAGAGGTGGCAGTCACACATTATCACAGCACGTAAGAGTAATTTGGAAAAACATGTAATCTATAATAAATTCAGAAATAGTTTGGAGAAAAAAAAACGATACAGCATAGTATTGCGATATATTTGTGTGGCAATATCGTATCAGCACACAGTATATCCATTTTTTTTATCATATAAATTATTAATGTGACAAATAAAACTTCAGGTAGCCCACAAGAATAATATAATCAATTGCTTTTCAGTCCACTAGATACATTGTGCTGTTGCAAAAAAATGGCCGAAGTGAATTGAACAGACTGAAAACTTTATCTTATCAGATTAAACAGATGTTTACAAAGTTTTCCTTTTGGGACATGTTTCACAGTTTAAAAAAGGTTATATATCGCAGTATATTTTATTGCAACACTCTGCATATCACAACATATTTAAAATCCCAGTAATATTGTATCGTGACTCAAGTATCTTGGATCCTCTGGTGATTCCCACCATTTAAAATACATAATACTCTCGAAATGCTAATGCAGTTGAATTTCCACTGGTCTCAAACCGTAGTGTTTTTCAGCGTCTTTGATTTACGCTTGATTTAAAATATTCTCCGTGTTTTTCCGTTTGTCTGTACAGTTGGTGTTCTTGCACTGTGACCGCTACATAGAGTTCCACTCGCAGCATGGACACTACTACAGGACACGCATTCCAAAGTTTGGAAGGGACTTTTCGTACCACTATCCGTCCTGTGACCTCTATTTTGTGGGGACAAGGTGAGAGTATAATTGAATGAAAGGTTGTTGAGGCACTCTGACATTCTTGCTTGTTTGTAGATTTATCCTGTGCATGTCGGAGGAATAGGCTGGTTGGGTGGCACTGTTTATGTTTTTGTTTTCATTTTCAGTTCCGAGGTGTTCAGACTGAACCTGGAACAGGGGCGCTTCCTCAACTCACTTCAGACTGATGCTGTGTAAGTATTACAAAGTGTTTACCCTGACTGTTCATCTAATAACAGTAAGTAAGCTCATTGCCGTCATTGCTCTCAGCTGATGTTCATGGTGC